CAGGACACAATTATAATTACAACAATACAACAATAACAATAGAGGAGACCGTGGAAGATGGTATTAAGAAGAGCAGAGGGGTGAAGAATGGAACCAGTTAAGTAAAGGCTTTTCTGAAAAGGAGGGTTTTGAGTCTGGATTTGAAGAAGTTCAGACAGGTATTGAGGTCCAAGCCATGTAAAGCCTTATAGGTGAGCATGAGGATTTTAAAGTCTAGGCGGAATTTGACCGGAAGCCAGTGCAAGGACTCCAGGATAGGAGTAATGTGAACACTTGCACTAGACCTGGTCAGGATTCTGGGTAGCTGCGTCAGCATGCATAGGCTGCAAAGGAACAAGTAATAGGTTTATTCCCTGCTGAAAAAAAGAAGAAAGAGAACACAACGTTTCGGCCGTGGAGCCTTCTTCAGGTCACTTGTTCCTCAGAAGGAGGTGTATCCTCTTTTTCTAGTTCTTATAGGCTAATCTCTCTAAGAGTCGGAAGTCATTGATCCTGAGTTGTTAGTTGTTAATATGATCAAGAAAGATCCAAAAACAGTCTTTTTGATTTATAAATGTTTGAGGCGATACATGCAATAGGTTTGGTGTTCTGTACCTGACGTGTCATTAAAATCTACCCTTGTTTTGTAAACACAATTCCATTTGGTTCCATGGTTTTTAGGCCACATGATCATAGCATACAGAATGACCGTCTCTCATTTTATTTACTTTTTTTTGTGTCCTGGTCATTAATGTACAGTCGAAGACTACAGGAGATTTTAAAATGACAACAGATTGAGAGTCTCACTTACCTTTCAAAGACTTTATATTCCTGTCTCCCTGTGAGGTTGGAAGAGGTGGCTCTGTGAGACAGCCACCATCTTGGCTCAAGCCCACACCAAGGCAAGATGTGTTTTGAGCAAAGATGGTGGCTTTCTCACAAAGCCACCTCCCACTACCTTACACTCCTTTTAAGCAAAGTTATAAATTCGTAGTGAATTGGTTAAAATATTTTCATATTTGTATAATGTGCCTTTAACTGCTTAAAACTGATAAAAGGGAAAAGGAGTTCAAGTGCATTTCAGCTGCATCTTCCTCTGCCTCCTGAGGACACAGGTAGAAACAATGCGGAAGTGCATTTAAAACCAAAAACAGGAGACTTCCATACCCTGAGAGTTGTGAGAGTGCCCTGTACCCTGGTCCCATACCCGGGGTTCATCACCAACAATGACAGCAATTTGTCAGCTTTGTTAAAGAGTGAGACTGCAGAGGGGATGAAAGATTTCCAGTCA